TAAACAAATTTAATAATCTGGATCATAATGCATGTTCCAAGATAAATATTACTAATGATACTAGTCTATGTAATTGTAGGAATTCAGACCAATGCTCATTGCTAAGCAAATGTTTAACTAAATCTCTTGTTTACCCAAGTACTATCTCTACCATAGAGAATCCGACAGTTGAAAAATTCCATATTGGTAGTACTAAGAATTCTTTTAAGACTAGGTGGTATCAACATATTTTGTCCTTCACTAATAATACTTATAGAAATAATACATCACTTTCTAAATATTTTTAGAGTTTAAAATTATAATAAATCTCCTAAGGTGAAATAGAAAATTAAAAAAACAGTAAGGACATTTAGATCTTTATATGAAACCTGTTTTTTGTGCTTGCATGAAAAATTGGAAATTATCAGATTTAATAAAAATTCCTTATTAAAACAAAGAAGTGAATTAACAGTAAATTGTAAACATAGTTTACCTTTTACCTTACAAGTTAGTTAAACTTTGGAATTTGATTATGGACAGGTGATTACCTATGTCCTGAAATAGTATTCAGAAAAGAATGACAGAATTTTCTGTTTATGACTTGGTACTTCTGGCTTAGATCATGCTTTGAAAAGTGCTAAGTGCAATACACACACACACACACACACACACACACACACACACACACACAAAATAAAATTGCAACACTCTAATTCAGAGGTCTGCAACCTTTTGGAGAGTGGACCAGACAGGTTTGCAGCATCTCAGAAGAGGGTCATGACATCAAATGTATTATAATAAATTCTCAACCTCAAACCACACTGTCCAGAAAGCTGCCTTAGTCTGGAGATTTAAGGAAAAAACAACAAAATTAATGCTATATTATTTAAACAAGGTTCCTTATTTTACTGCAGTAATAACAGGATAACAACTAACACAATCAACACAAAACGCAAATTCCATGCTACAAATGAAATACAGTTAAAAATGGCAAATTATTTAATGAGGCACTTGTTTTTGTTTATTGTTCAATAACTTCTCCATATCAGGTGAAATATTTGATTCAGGTGGTCATCACCCAACCTTGTTTTTAAAGTTTTTCACAAGCATATGTACTTCCAAATAATGATCCCGTCATTTTTGGATTATTCAGTAGGCTTTTATATTTTCTGCTTGGCAAAACATTTCTTGTAGAAGTCAACAGTAGATTTGGAATTAAATTTTGATTTAAAAAATTTGTCTTATTGTAAGTAATTTAACTCCAGCTGATATTTTTCTGCCACTTGCTTCACAAATTAGATAATTATTTCCAGCTATTAAGCTGGCGGGCTAGACAAAAATCCTTTGCAGGCTGGATGTGGCCCAGAGGCCCAGGGGTTGCCGACCTTTGCTCTAAATATTTCAGTTTACTCATTTCTGGATTATCATAATTATTTATACAGATTAAAATATACACAGGTTCCAAAATCAGGGTGCATTAATACAGTGTTCATCCTCCTTGAACATCAGCAAAGGTTTTTATACTCTCGCATGCATACACTCATGCAGAGGAGGAATGCAGTTATGCATTTCTCTTGTACACAATTCAGCAAGAATTGCACATGTGCTAATTGAATAGGTTAGACATATTCCAGACATATCCCATACAGATCAAGGAACAGATCTTGCAATTGTGCTAGCCAGGGAAGTTGTTGAGAAACTTTGCAGAGAATTATTGAATAGGGTTGTCAGTATAATTCTATTGGAACAACACATCAATTTTCTGTATAGGAATGGTAGTAGAATGAGTTAAATAATATCATGGACGTATATGGTGGTGTTCAACATTATTTCTACAAATACCAAAGATGAACAAGAGTTGTAATTTATGGCTATCCTACACTAAGCCTGTACTACTCATATCCATGAATTGATTATAGTGGTGAATGTTATGTAGAACCAGTTAATTTTCAAATGGACTGATAACAAAACAGTACACTGCAACAAAGTCTTCAAACAACCTTCATTGCATTTGAATTTAGAATTGTCTTTAGAGTTGCCAATCAAGGTGAGAAAACTGTCTGCCCTGCTATTTAACCCATAGCCGGTAAAATGAGATGGATTCATACCATTCCCAAAGGTATTTGTGTGAAAATTAATGTAACAAACTTCTAGTATACACAAAATAATAATAACTCCCTTTACCCATGACCTTCAAATTCAGGTGAGAAACTCATGAGCCTATATGAAATTTTCTTTGAACCAATGAAAATCTCGCCTTCAGGGATTGGCCAGCGACCTGATAAAAAGAAAAATTTGTGAACCTATGTGAAATTTTCTTTTGAACCAATGAAAACCTTGTTTTCACAGAAATTAGTTATTGAGCCAAGAAAAAAAATAGTGAACCTATGCAAAAGCCTTTTTCATATAAAATAAGGAGAAAAGTTAAATTAATAAAAGTCATGTAAAAAGTTTTTTCTGTTCATGCATTCAGCTTCAAATTTGTTGCCAGTGACAAATTTCTTGCCAATTATATTATTGGCCTTAATCAAATACTTGTCACTTTAAAGAACTTTATTCCAAGAAAGCTAAGTATTTCAAACTATCTCTCTTTGTCTAATTTAAATATATGTAACTGTCTAACCCTTCTATGAACAAACTCTCTTACCTTTGTTTTAAACATTTTGGGATATTATTTTGCATCAAATCATTTAATCTGTTGTATAAACATTTCCTCTTCATGGAAATACATTAAAACTACAGACTTTAAAAAAAATTCTGATTTATTTTCCTCAAATGAGTTACTAACACATCTTCAAGTGTGTAAATTCATAAATAAATTCCTAAACTTGTTTTGTTAAAATCTACCTGTGTGTTTTCCCATCATTATCCTTCTCCATTAATCTTCTTTGCCATGAGTAAATCAATTTTGTTCATTTTAACTTTAATGCCCCACACCACCATAGCACCACCTATACATCCATCACTAATATAATATATATATATATATATATATATATATATATATATATAAACAGCTCAATCACTAACACTACTTGCAAAATCTACCACAACTCTAACTGTAGAAGTCATAACATAATTTACTTATTAGAATGCACACTATGCCAAAAACAATGTGTGGGAAAATTTGAATGGCCTTTTCACCACAGAATTAATAATTATCAGAATCAGATTGTCAACTCCCTATGAAAGATTATTAGCCATAGAACAACATTTCCACCTAGACACAAAAGATAAATTTAGGAAAATACTAGAAGAACATGAAGACAAATGGATTTTGTGCCTCAAAACACTTTGTCCAGACAAACTTAATAACAGACTAAACAACAAAGATAAAATATAATCTCATAGATCAACCCTCACCCATATTTCTCAACCACACTAGACAGAAATGCTTGCAGAGGTGTTGAGGTATCCCACATGCAAATATATACACACACCCCTCAAAAAAATATTAAACCATAACATACACATAACACATACATCCCCTTTTCAGCAACAAATAAAGCTGTCAGAATGACTAAAGAGATAAATCTGAGACTTGTGAATATCCAAGCCTTTCCTTAAAAGAACTTGAAAGAGGCCTTTTGACCAATATGAGGACTGACCAAAAATTAACTATAAAAAACAAATGAAAACTACAGGCCAAGTTAAACTTCCTCAGAGAAAGTCATTCTCCCATGTAATTCACTACTGCTAACAACAAAGAATTTTTTTCTCCTGATGATCTCCATGCTGACTGAAACTAGTTGAGGCACCTAATTTAAATAATAAAACAAAAATATTAGTATACAACCCAGTGTGTCTGAAATTTTAATTTTTTTAACATTTTTCTTATTGTTCAGACACACAAACACACACACACACATATATATATATATATATATATATATATATATATATATATATATATATATATATGACAACAAATTCTTGTTGTTAAAATTGAACTCTGAAAGGAAATTTTTTATTCTTAAACTTAATTATTTGTCAAAATTCTGGCATAAAGAATTATTATTATTCTTTTTTTATGATTTTGAACAATATTGAGGTTCTTCTCAATATTTATATAAAATTGGGCTCTGTGTATAAGCTTTTTTTTTTATTTTGTTTTTGCCTCCTCAATCCCCAGTAGATACAAAATTCTAAATCCAATATGGTGCTTACCTATTATCTTCATTAACCAGTATAAAGAATCCTAAGAAAATCCATTATAATCATAGCTTCTTGTTCAAGTTACACTCTGCTCTTATCAAAAAATGCCAATGCAGATTTTGCTTTTAATCATTATAAAATCAGATTTGTTAATGTAAATTACAAAGTAGTACAAATCTTGTTTCACTGTATTATTAAAGTTTTCTTTTTATATTTGTGTCTCTTAATATCTAATAAGCTTAGCATACAACTAAACAGAAGTAAATTATGTTGGGTGAGTATTCCATACTGGAAAGGAAATCTAGAAATTGGAGTTTTGAAACCCTAGCTTTTACTTATTTCAAATAATCATGATTAGTGTTGACAGTAAATATACAACTTGTCCATGATGCAAGACACTTACTAGTGCTCCATTCTATAACAAGATGTGTTAGTGTCCTATTATATATATTTATAATATGCTATATTTATAAGGAAAGAATGCTCTATCAGGAATAGCACATTTGTAGGTATAAACACTACAAGCATAGAAATCAACACTGTATGGTGACTCAAGTTTCATACCTCCTGAAATCATCTGGTTTGAGAAATATAAGATTCAACTGCATTGCTTCATGTGTCTAAAAAAGGGCTTAGACATTAAATAATGAAAATCAAAATTATATAGAACATACAAAATATAACCAAAATTCCAATATAGATAAGCTGATAATAGTACAGAATAACACTTTTTTATTTTTTTACTCTGTGTACCATTTATGTATCAATTTTTAATGTTTTTTAAAGCTATTAAATTACAGTGTGAAATTGTTTTAAAGATTTTATATTCAGATTGTATTGTTTAACATTTTTTTTCTTTTATGCAGCCATTGTTGATGAACCAGAAGAGGAAAAAGAACAAGAGAATCCTGAGGAAGATAGCCGCAGAAATTTAGCTTTTCTGTTAGAAAAAGTCGAAGGTTGTTCAGTAAGTGTCATTTTTTTACTTTTATTTTTTTTAACTTAATTGATAATTTTGATTTGCTTTCTAATGATTATTTTAAAATAACTAAACATTTAAATTTTCTATAGTTGTAATATTTGTGATTGTAATATAGTTGTAATATTTCTAAGGGGAACTAATTTTTTCTTATGATGTTTCTTTTACAATTAATATTAAGTCTTCAATTATCTGAATTTTTTAGTTAAAGCATATCAGTTATTTAGATAATCTGTAGGTGGTACATTTTATTATTAGCTTTAAAAATAGACATGAAAAAAGGGAGAAAATATTACTACTAAGTGGTAATTTGAAAGTTATAACATGTTTTGTTTTTTGTTATGTTTTTCAATTCACCAATTCATGGTGAGTAATTTTTATTTTTTTTTTTTGCTCTTTCTCCCTATTTGTTTAAATATATTTTCTATGTATTATGTAAATGTTATAAAACATTTAAAAGGTTTGTTTTTAAAGCCATAATTGTCAATTATTTATTTTTTTATTTTTTTTTCATCTCATTTCTCTTGTTTTTTGTTGCAACTCCTAAATAAGCATTCAGTCTCCTAAAAGGCTCATTTTGGATTTTTTTTTTTTTTTTTTTTTTTTTTGATCCTTGCTGCTTATTAGTATTCCCAAATGCACTGAGGCAATTATCGTGGTCAAATTAAGCTTTTTGATATATTAACTGTGTAAAATAAATATTCTGTAATAATTTTTCATAAACATACTTTTCTCAAATTTAAAATAATTACATCCAGTTGGCTTATGTGAGGTGGTCAATAATATATATATATAATTAGTATTGTTAGAACTTTTAACATCTATAGAATACTGTTATATCTAGTATTTTTTTAAATTATTATCTTGAAGTTTTCCATGGACATAAGAATTTTAATGGTAATTTGTCCATACCTACTTCAGGGAGAAAAATAAAACAATGCAATTGTAAAAAATCAAAAAATTGTAAAAACATATCTCATTAAAAAAAACAAAATTGATCTATAGCATATGGCCACAAAATTGATATTGCTGAAATGAATAATTTTATATGTCACCCAACAAGTTGGACAGAGGCTATATATTCACTCTTGTTTGTTTCTTTCTGTCTACACAATATCTTGTTTGGCTATGGTTCAAGTAACAATTGGCTAAATTTTGGAATAGATATAGGAAATTTGTTCGCTTTTGTTAATATTACCAGATAGAACCTTTTTGTTTTTATCATTTCTATAAAAACTGTAAATTATCAAGAAATTTAAGTTTAAATATGATTATCTCCCTTGTTATTACAAATTTCTGTCACACTGTGATTGTAACAGAAGTTTACAAAAGAGAATTTATTTGAAAAATACATTTCGTTGATGACTCACATTAATGTATCTTTTAATTCAATTCTCTCTTGTTATTGCAAACTTTTATCACAGCATTAGTTTAGGGTATTGAAGCTCAGACCATTGTTTTGGATATCTCAAAGGCATCTGACAGGGTTTGGCATGCTGGTGTTCTTCACAAGTTGAAAGGTTATGGCATTTCTGGACTAATTTTTAATCTGATTTAATCTTTCCCATCAAATCCCAAAATTAAAGTTGTCTTCAATGGCCACTCTTCTACATATTTTTGCATTAATACAAATATCCCCCGGGCCACCTACATTGTTTTCATCAATGACCTTTTTGATGTTATTAGTTCTCAATTTGGTATCTATGTTGATGACACAACTATTTTCTCTCTGATCAGTTTGATATGGTCAGATTGGCAGCTGATTTCAAAACTGATCTACAATCTGTTATTAAATGGGGCAAGAAGTGGCTTGTTAATTTTAAACAAAATTGCTCTCTTAATCATTAGAGAATCTTTTTTGCCTTCCGTCAGCATAGCTGATTCTAACCTCCAGGAGAGTGACTCCTTGAAACTTCTTAGGCTAATGTTTTCTGTTAACATGAAGTGGAAAGATTATATTGAATCAATTGCTAGGTCTGCTAGAAAATGTCAATAAATGCACCTCACCATAAAGTAATAGAACAATCTAATCACACAGGCAGTTACTACTGTAGTTAATTTCTTTCTCATAGGGTACCTTCCACATGTTTTCTTGTGACATACTATGCTAAATTTAGTTAATATTTATAATTTTTACTTCAGTTAAGATTAATTCAATGTCAGTGAATCAGAATTTATAGTAATTTTAAATTTTGTGAACTGGAATTATTTCAATTTGTTTAAGGATTCATGAGAACTGACTGTAGCAATTATCAATTTTTATATGACTGAGATGTTCAACTGATGTCCAAGGGTGCCTTATAAGGCTACTCTGAAGTAGGTACCTCCACTAATTCTGTATAAATTTTTGATACCTACAGTTTAAAATGAATTTTTAAAAATGAAAAAGCAATCTTGAAGATTTCATTTTAGCTTTAATTGAAAGCTAAATGATTAAATTTACTATTTCCAGTAAGTAAAATATCCTGGTGTATTTCAAATAGAAATTATATAGATTGGAATCTCAACTTTTTTGGCCAATTTCAGAAAATTTTATTAAAAGCATCCATTTTCTTAATTTTCAGAAATTTGAAAACTAAAAAAAATTATCAGTTTCAAAAATTTTCCAAAAATATATATTTGTGAGTAAAATTAACAAATTTAAAATTAATTTAATCTGATTTGAAATAAACATTACTTACTTATAGCATAAAAAAGTAATATACAAGCATTTCTTAATGATGAGTCCTATTTTTCTTTGATCTTTATTGATGTATCAATAAGTTCCGAGGTGATGACAGCTGGTATGGATGACCAGAATTGACATAAATTTACGAAATCTAAGTGAACGCATTTTTTTATTTTGTTTTTAACTACTTAGTAATTAACATATTTTCTGAAATTGTTATGTTTGAAGATGCTTTATGAAAAAATAAAAAATTGAAGTACTATAAAAATTTTTTAAATTAATTTTAAAATTTAATAACAGATGAAATTAAAATAAGGGTAAGTAAACAAAAAAATTAACACATTTGATCTGGAAATTTTTTTATAATTAAAATATTGTTTAATCATTAATAGTTAATAAAATTTAATTAACATTAGATAAAAAACATTTTTCTATTTTCTTCAATCCAAGCATATGACCTTTTCATAATAATGCCATGTTTAGGCTGCCATAGATGAAAAAAAGGGAACAATTAAAGTTTAAAAAATAATTTAAAAAACAGAATAGTAAAATGACATTTATTAATTTTTTTCAATTTTGGATTCGTAAATTTAATTTCCACTTAATTACAATGTCACATCCAGCACATAAAGTGATACAGAATTTTAAACTATTTTTAAACTATTATAAATTATTATAATTAAAATTTAAAAAATATGAAATAATTCTTGTAAAAATTTGTTATTTATCAAAAAAAATTATTTCTTCAGCCAATAGTGTTGTTAATATAACTTACTTACAAAAGCAATTAAAAGCTTTTCTAATTAAATAATGTCATATTTTGATTACATTTTTTAGTTTACTATTCAGAGCAGATTTTCAGTTAGAACAGTGAAAGTTTGAAAAAAAAAATTAGATAATTTACATTCTCCATGGAGTTCTACTTTTAACTAATAAAAGAAATTCTGGATATAAAAAGGAATTTCACAAAATTTCATGAAATTAGGGAGGGGAGTGAGTAACATATATAAAAAAAAAATACATTTTTTACCCAGATTTTCTAAAACAAAAATTTTCAAAAGTAATTTCATTCATTTGTGAATAAGTCCTGAAAGTTTCATTAAAATCCAACAATTATTTGATTTTTGCAAGAATTTCCAGATCAGTGTGTTTTCACTGGAAAAAACGTAATTGTAATTATTACATCCACTGCTGATGTAAACAAAACAAGATTTTGAACTAAAATTTCAAATGTGGTAGAAAGGATTAAAAATTTTTTTAAAATAATAAAAAATACTTTGGTCTTTCATCTTAATAACATAAATGTTTTGATGATAAAACTTTATTTTATTAAGTTTGGGGCCTTTTTCATTATGCTATGCTGTTTTTCTGCAAAAAAGTGAAGATATCTACTCTGAAGTATACACAAATTGCCCTAGCTGGAGTTTGTATTGTTACTGATCAAGCTTCATATTTCAAACAATGAAACAAACAAGCAAAAAATTAAATGTTACCATGATAATGACAAACTATTTTCATATCTTTTTCTATAAATTTAATCAGAAATATTTAAAAGTTCTATTGGTATTTAAAGATCTCACATTTAAAAGTATAATAAAGTAATAATCAGTATTGTAAAGTTTGCCTACAGAATATTTATCCCTGTATAAAGATATTAGAATTTTATTGAATAATGTATCAAAGACACCTAATATACATATAACAGTCTTTATCTGTCAGTAATGTTTGCATTCTATGTCTGGTTACTATACAACTGTTTTTAGTACCATGTAACCCAGTACTATCTTCCATATGGATGGGTCATTGTTGACTGAAGCAGTTCCCTCACCAGGTTTTTCTCTTGAGACGGGTGGCTAGTCACATAGCAGAGTTATAAACAAGACCTCTAAGAGAGTTGCTGAACTTTTTTGTAGTTTCAATGGCCATTTAGCTTGATGAAGTAGACTGGGATGCATAGTTATGTATACAACCAAAGAAGTGATCACAACATTTTGCTGGTTGGAGGGTTTCATAAACTCAAATCAATAGGCAGAGCAGCGGGTTTTCTTAACATAATCAATGGCCATATATCAGTGATGAAGGTGAGCCTTCAAGCTGTAGTCTAACCTGGAGATTGATGGACTCCACCAGATCTAATTGCCTAAAACATGTTACACATGAATGAAGGCCTCTCTGGCTTTCAACCCAGATATGTTGAAGAACTGATCAATTGCTCAGCTGTGAGTAAAACTACAACCAAACATGTTCAATGGGACTGATGATGGTGATTATTATTAAGAATGTTTGTATTAATTTTCCTAGAGATTCAATGAATTTTTAT